AATACAGATCTTACATACAACAGTAGAGTAAGAGAATATTCTGAACAACTTTTAGATCAATAATTCTTTAGGTGAAAGAGACAAATTCCTTAGAAGGAAAAAAATCACTAAAGCTGACTTAAGAAACACAGTAGATGAATAACCCTGTGTCTATTTTTGAATTCATAAGTAAAAACTTTCCAGAAAGAAAACTCTAAGTCCAGACTACTTAAATGTGGAATTCTGTCAAATATTTAAGGAATAAATAATACCAATCCTATGCAAGCTCTCAGAAAACAAGAGGGAACACTTCTTCAGTTATTCTACTAGGCTAGCATTGCTGATGCCAAAACCAGACCAAAAAAAAAAAAAAAAAAAAAAAAAAAAAAAAAAAAAAAAAAAAATCACAAAAGAAAACTACAAACCAACATTCCTTATGAATATTGACATAAAATTCTGTATCAAAATATTAACAAATTTCATCCAGCAATGTAAAAAACAAACAAAAAACAGATAACATACAACGACTAAGTGGCATTTACCACAGGAATATAACGTTGGTTTAACATTAAAAAATCAGTAAGTGGAATTTACTATATTTACAAAATAAAGGAAAAAAATCATATGATCATCTCAAATGATGCAGAAAAAGCATTAGAAAGAATTCAACACACATGATAAAAACTCTCAGCAGACAGGAAAAAAAGGGAACTCTTTAACCTGATAAAGGACAGATAAAATCATATTCAATGAATAATGAGCACTTTCCCTTAGGATCAGGAACAGGGCAAAGACATATGCTCTCACTACCTCTTTCAACACTGTACTGGAGGTTACAGCCAGTGCAATAAGAAAAAGAAATTGAAGGCATACACACTCGTAAAAAGAGAAGTAAAAACGTCCTTCTCACAGATGCAATGATCATGGGTGTAAAAATCCTAAGAATATATTAAGAAGCTACTGGAATTTAATAGGTGAATTTAGCAAGATAATAGGACACAGGATCAACATGTTAAAAAATCAATTGTATTTTCATAGAATTAGTAACAAGTAAAATGGAAATTTAAAAAAAATTTTTTTTTTCAACGTTTATTTATTTTTGGGACAGAGAGAGACAGAGCATGAACGGGGGAGGGGCAGAGAGAGAGGGAGACACAGAATCGGAAACAGGCTCCAGGCTCTGAGCCATCAGCCCAGAGCCCGACGCGGGGCTCGAACTCACGGACCGCGAGATCGTGACCTGGCTGAAGTCGGACGCTTAACCGACTGCGCCACCCAGGCGCCCCTAAAAATACCATTTACAAAAGCTTAAAAAACATGAAATACTTGGTATTACATTTAAAAAAAAAAGTTTAAAAAATTCCACTTATAACAGCTTAAAAAACATGAAATACTTGGTATTATATTCAACAAAGAATTTGCAAGGCCTATACACTGAAAACTACCAAATACTGCTGAGAGAAAGTAAAGCAGATTTACACGACTCTGCTCAAGCTCGGGAAGACTCAACACTGCTATGATGCCATTGCGTGCAAAACTGATCCATCTCAATCAAAATCCCAGCACTGGGGAAATGCAAATTAAAACCACAATGAGATACTATTCATACTCAAATACTGGTAAGTATGTAGAACAACTGGAACTTCTCAGTCATTGCTGGTCAGTATATAGCAGTACAACTCCTTCAGAAAATAAATTCTTAAAAAGTTGAGTACACATGTAAGATTCCATTTATATGAAATTCAAGAACTGGCAAAAGTCATTTACGGTAACAGAAATCAGAAAGGAACTTTGGATGGGTAGCCAGGGGCAAGGAGTTGACTGCAGGGGCAGAAGAGAATTTTGGAAATACTAGAAGTATCTTTACTGGGCTTGTGGTTATACAGGTATATACATTTTTTCAAAACTTAGTAAAGCTGAACAGTCCAAATTAGTACATTTTATTGTTCGTCATTTTATACCTCAGTAAAATTTCTTTATAAAGTAAAAACTGGGGCGCCTGGGTGGCTCAGTCAGTTAGTTTAAGTGTCCGACTCTTGGTTTTGGCTCAGGTCATGATCCCATAGTTTGTGAGTTCGAGCCCCACATCGGGTTCTGCGCTGAAAATGAAGCCTGCTTTGGGTTCTCTCTCTCTCTGTCTCTGTCCCTCCCGAGCTCTCTCTCTCAAAATAAATAAATAAACTTAAAAAAAAAAAAAAAGTAAAAACTAAACTTAAAAAAATTGTTATTTAAGTCCATGTTCCCCTCTGCCTAAAAGCTCCACGTCACAGTGGAGCAGGCAGGCCGAGGGGACCCGTGCAAGTCAGTGGGGCAACTACGACCTGACCCAGTTTTTCAAACTGTGCCTCCAACTTCACAGAAGACTCCAGGGAGCATTTCGGCAAGTCTTTAGTGTTTGCTTTGTTTCGTCTCATTTCACTTACTAGTATTTTTTCTTATTTTGTGAGTTGACGGACACCTTTCTCCCCCTTAAATTCAGTTTTCCTCTATCACCAAAATACATTTCCGTCTTTCCTCAGAAGAGTACATTTACTCCCAAGCACGAGGGATGTTCGAAAAACAAAACTATGAACACGTTACCTAGTATGAACAGAACTTTCTTGCCAGGAGCCAGATAAAAAAGAGCTTTGGGCTTCAAACGCAGATGCAGTTCTCCCACCCTGACCACCCAAATATCCAGACTTTCTACCTTATTGCGTTTTCAGACTACTGGCTGCCAATGAGGCGAGTTCAAGACCATGTGCTTCAAACATGGTTAAAACTTTCTCACTCAGGCATAGTTATACAATTTCTTCCCAATACTAAGAGGAGCATGACTCCAAGAAATTGTTTTAAAACCATGATGTTAGACAAATTTTTAGGGTTGACAGATCTCTGCCATGTTTCTTAATAACAAAGGGCAGGAACCACGGCAGCTTTCGGACTCACTAACACCACAAAATAAGGGCACACAGACAGCATCTGAAGGGCATGCTGAGCAGACAGCTCAGTGCGATAATCGTGTCCCTGATGTACACTTATTACAAATATAAATGCTAAGGTACTGGGGCGCCTGGGTGGCTCAGTCGGTTAAGCGGCCGACTTCAGCTCAGGTCATGATCTCACGGTCTGTGGGTTCGAGCCCCGCGTCGGGCTCTGTGCTGACAGCTCAGAGCCTGGAGCCTGTTTCAGATTCTGTGTCTCCCTCTTTCTCTGACCCTCCCCCGTTCATGCTCTGTCTCTCTGTGTCTCAGAAATAAATAAACGTTAAAAAAAATTAAAAAAATAAAAAATAAAAATATAAATGCTAAGGTACTAAGTAGTTACAGGCATCAAAACACAAGTTACTCTTGAATCTGATGGAAAGGTGAAGACCGAACCGTAACAACTGTTAACTGTGCTCCACTTTTGAGAACAGTAAGAACATCAAAGATGGTGTCACGTACACAATCTCGATAATCATAACATCCATGTGATTCCATTAAAAAAATGCAGTTAAAAAAAGACAAAGAAAAAAAGAGAAACTCTTATTCAGAGGCTGGACTTGACACAAACCCACTCGTGTCAGATGATGACAAGCCCGACAAACTCAACAAAGGTCTCTGAGCGGCCGGGGAGGACCACAGAGCCCACGCCTCGGTGGTGCGCAGAGCAATGGAATGCCTGCCAACCACTGAAAATGCCCGACAAAGGCAGAGGCAAGAAAACGTTTTTATGACAAACACACGTCTGAGACCACTCAGTACACAGAACCAATCTTCATCCCCAGAAGAATTTCTGAAAACACTGCATTACTTAACAATGATAGAAAATGACTTCCGGAATGGTGACCTTGAGTCAACAGCCCTTGCTAAAAACAGCACAATGTGCAGTATGTGCTTTATGAAGGCAGCCAGAGTGGTTATAATTGTCATCGTTTCCTAGTTTCAAGTCCTGAGCTCCGGTTATCTCTCAATGTCAGGCATGTAGAAGCCTGTGCTCGGGTTATCACCCCTAGTGCTGTCTTAGAGGAAATGGTATCAGATAGAGTTTACGTCCATGTCCAGCGATGTTTGTAGAACCACCAAAGGGATTCAACAAATTTTTAAGTTTTCAAGCACGTTTTGAAAATGAGGTTTCCCGTTATTATAAAACATCTTCAACAGAAAATAATCCATCCTACCCGCAGGGAGATAACTGCCAGGTCTTATTTGTAGGGTCATTATCGTCCACTGAAATTCTGTATTTTCTTCGACTTTCTAATTGGCTAGTGACGCATCATTCTCAGTTTCTCACTCCCTTTCCATCCCCTAAATAAAAGAACACCTTCCATTTCCTCCACAACGCTCCCTTCCCCACCCACCCCACAGGAGCACCGACTGGTCACAGCACAGCACCCACTGCCCAACGTCAGCACTGGTGGGCTGTGCGGGTTGGAATCTGCAATGCTTAGAGCCACACGGCAATGAGGAAACAGAGTCCTCCTTCTTACTGCGCAGTCTGACCGAGGAGGAGTACGTTACCATCCTGGAGCACCTGGAGCTTAGACTCTTATCAGCCCTAACACAGACAGCCGGTAATCTGCTCCCTCCCCTGAGCCAGACCCTGGGCTGGAACGCTTCACGCCCACTGTCTATTTCCATTTAACCCTCGTAACTGTCCCGTGAGAGAGGTCCTCCTTGATGCTCACTTTCTAGCTGGGCAGGCTGGGGCAGGGAGGTGATTAAGCAACCCGAGCCCTGATCACACAGCCACGAGACAGGAGCGCCAATCAGGATGTCAAAGCTCACAGTCTTCACAGCGCACCAACTGCCTCTGTGGCCTGCGCTCTGGCCGTCAGTCTGTACTTCACTTCTGGAGTTCCCACTGAATGCCACAGACTCCCTTTATCCTGCTTTATTCGACTACAAGGCACGTATCTTCTCTTCGTGCGGCATGAAGTCATTACTGTCTTAACTTTCAAAAAGTCAGAGGCAAATCAAGCCAAATATCATAGATCTGGGCAGCCTTGAAACTTTGCTGTTTGAAAATCACTGTGACACTTAAGTGTGGAAGAACATTACCTGGGGTTACAGTTAGCTGAAAGCAGTGGAGCTTGTTTGGATCAGGAAAATGCACTTTACACGTACCTGCAAAAGAAACAGCACATCAGGAAGGTCTGACAGCCGGCGGCAGCCCTACACAGAGGCTGACCTTGAAACACGCGTGGCGTTGAAGGTGCTGGAGGCGTCTGTAGACCCCTCCTCGCTCTTGGCGTGTCACTAACTGTGCCACTATTGCTAACACTGCAAGCCGGTGGCTTTGCCATGGGTGTCCCTCCTCACAGTCCCGCCCTCTTTAATTCCAAACTGAGATGGCTGCTTTCAATCTTTTAATGATCACTGAAAACTGAGATCTTTCCATTAACTTTAAGAATAATGCTACTTTAGTTTGAAAAGGGAACACCACACTTCAAGGAGATTAATACGTGTGGGTAAGGCTAACTAAACATGGCAAAACCAGAAAAACGCAGGCCAAACTTCTGGGATGTTCAACCACCACCACACTTATTCAGACCCATCACAGTAAATGGAAGCTCAAAAGGTGTCCTTGAGGGGCACCTGGGTGGCTGGCTCAGCCCGTTAAGCATCCGACTTTGGCTCAGGTTATGATCTCACAATTTGTGAGTTCAAGCCCCGCGTCGGGCTCTGTGGTGACAACTTGGAGCCTGGAACCTGGTTCAGATTCTGTGTCTCCCTCTCTCTGTCTGTCCTTCCCCTCCTCATTCTGTCTCTCCCTCTCTCAAAAATAAACATTTACAAAAAAAAAAAAAAAAAAGGTGTCCATGAGGTTAGCTAGCACCCAGTTTACCTGGCATTAAAAAAAAAAAAAAAAGTTTCACAACCCAAGTAGTAGCTCAGCTTGCTTTGTGGATGAAGGGATGCTCTGCTCAGATGGCAGTGCCCTATGCCCCCTGTGCCACACTGGAAGGGGTCTGGTCAACCGGGACAAGGAGTTCCCATAGGAGAAGAGGGAATGGCTAGTGGTGCAGATAGAAGTTGGCCACATCCTACATCTGTTCCTTCAAACAAAGGGTATAGAAGAACAGTGAGTACACAAGGAATAAACACCCACTATACTAGGAAGGAATATGTAGAAACTGTCTATAAAGTCAGAAAATACTACACTGAACTCCTTGGATCGCCAGCTGACTTTATTTCTTACAAGTCTCACCGCAAACATTTTGCCTGGTTTTATAATGGTATGAAATTTCATCGAAAACAGGACAACTTCAATTTTGACTTGGAAATGGCCCTTAGAGATCATCTCGTCCAATATCCTCAAGCATGGGATGATACAAAGGTCCAGAGAGGTTCGGCAACCAGCCCAGAATCACACAGGTTATCAACAAAAGGTTTAGTTCCCAAATTAAAGACTAGTTCATGGCTCTTCTCCTCATACCACACCTCACCTCATGACTTCAGAAACAGGCTGGTGTGATGCGTAAAAGCCATACAAAACTGTTAGCAGGGTTTCTTCCTTTATCAATCTCTGAGAAAATCATTGTAGAGTGAAAGGTAACTTAGTCTACAAGAGCAAGAAGGGGTCTTAGAGATTACACCGTCACATTCCTTATTTTATAAACAAAGAAACTGGGAGCCATGTGCCCAAACCACACGTGTGAACTGCACATGGAATAACTGGAATATGCTTCGTTCTTCCTAATCTTTCTTTTTAAAAAATTTTTAATGTTTATTCATTTTTGAGAGAGAGAGAGAGAGAGAGAGAGAGAGAGAGAGAGAGAGATAGCATGAGTGGGGGAGGGGCAGACTGAGAGAGAGACACAGAATCCGAAGCAGACTCCAGGCTCTGAGCTGTCAGCACAGAGCCTGACGTGGGGCTCGAACCTACAAACTATGAGCTGATGTCAGACGCCCAACGGACTGAACCACCCCAGGCACCCCATTCTTCCTAATCTTAACTTGAAATGATAAATGCTATCTTTCCAGTGAGATGTATGTAACAAAAATGTACGACAAGGGTTTAGAAAATGTTCACGGATCAGCTGAAGTTGGCATCATTCATTTGTTTTTAATACTTGGCATTCTCCTTCATTTTGGTAAAGGTATAGATGTAGAAACCCATCCTTCTAGAACAAATTGGCCCACCAGTAATAAATAAGTTACCAGGTAGATTAAAAAACAATAAAACTACCGAAAGAACCAAACATCTTAAAACTCAAAAAAAGCCTAACAACGACCACAAAAAGTGAAAAGTCAGGTTTTCGTTTTAGTTCAATGCAAGGGCTGTATGAAAACCCGGGACCCTAGCCTTTCCTCTGCCTGCAGGCACAGGCTAGCACGTTCATGCTTCTATCTATGTGAGAGGGAACGTGTGGTTTCGCCAACAGAGAGACCTCTATAAACTTGCCTGCACAGAGCTCCAAACTAGTTCTCAATGCGATGCGTACAAGCAGCACTCTCACATGGCAAGTTATTTTCTTTTCCTTCGTTAACACTTTAGAGAGATACTAAGGATTTATTCTCCAGTGGCTCCTTGTTTGCTCTGTGATGAGATCTGTACTTTTGGAAAGCATGGCTTACTTGTACAAACGAACTTAGACTTCCCTGACTCTGACGGGGCAGAGGGAAGGGAGAAAGTGAGAAAAGAGGCAGATAGCACATACTTTTTTTTATCTGATACCTGGGCCATCAAGGCTAGCGAGATATCTTTTTCAGACCTAAGGTAGTAATTAAAATTCTGGCTTGAGAGCCAATTACACAGTTTTTATAATTTTTTTAAAGTAAGTTCCAGGCCCAACGTGGGGCTTGAACTCACAACCCTGACCTCAAGAGTCACATGCTCTACCGACTGAGCCAGTTTGTTTTTAAACCAAAATTTTAGATAAAGCTGAAGCTATCCTTCTCTACGGGCTAAAACCCAACAATCTCTGTCAGAGTCTTACTTAAGGACAAAATGAACCATGTGTAAGCGGTAACTTCTTATGGTCTTTGATTAAACATATGCATGTGTATATACACAAACCCTTTAAGAGAACCCCAAGACACTTCCTTCCAGTTCTGACTAGAAGAAAACTTTGAGGTCAAGCAATTCAGGGATTCTTTTTTTTTTTTTTAACGTTTGTTTATTTTTGAAAGAGAGAGAGAGACAAGGTGTGAGCAGGGGAGGGCAGAGAGACAGGGAGACACAGAATCCGAAGCAGGCTCCACGCTCCCAGCTGTCAGCACAGAGCTCGACTTGGGGCTTGATCTAACCTGAGCCGAAGTCGGGTGCTTAACCGACTGAGCCACCCAGGCTCTAATAGGATTCATGATATTTTCACCGAGACCCCACTAAGAAGCCTATTTTATATCACAACCCACCACACTCATATGTAAATACCATACATTAAAAAGAATTTTTCAGGAAACTGTGTGTACTTACCCTTACAAATGATTCTGCAACCACTTTCAGGCTAATCTACCACCGGCATTTCTAACTTCCTTAGTTGGTGGCGGAACGTGACTCCTTCTTGACCCAGTCAGGTGATACTGTTCTTCGAGCATTCATTTGCATCCAGGAGACCAACGTACAAAATATTTCGCCTACACTGACAAACATCCTCAACCTCAGAACTGTTTTTTTTTTTTTTTTTTAACATTTATTTATTTTTGAGACAGAGACAGAGCATGAACAGGGGAGGGTCAGAGAAAGAGAGGGAGACACAGAATCGGGAAATGAGGCTCCAGGCTCTGAGCTGTTCAGCACAGACATCGGGCTCGGAACTCACGACCGCGAGACGAAGACCTGAGCCGAAGTCGGACACTTAACCGACTGAGCCACCCAGGCGCCCCAGAACTGTTTTTAACCAAGTATGATGATAAAAAGTCCTAATTCAAAAAAATATTAAAATGGTCAAAGCTTTCAGGCTTTAGTGGTCTTACACAATATGCTAAGTTTGGGAAGGGATTAGTAACAGGAAAAAACCGCACCTTTGACACATCACACAAATGAGCTGCCTGGGGAGTGAGCCTGCTCACAGGTGAAGACCACACCGTGGGTCTCTGTGCCTGGGCAGGAAGGACTGAGCACGGTGAGGACAGCTGGTGACATGGGGGTACATGGCCACCCCAGCCCATGCACAGAGATAAATTACAAGTAAGCACTTTGTGGACCAAAAAAGTGGTGCCGTCACTCACAAAAATAGGACTGTCTGTCATCGATTTATATCTTTTCACTCAAAGAGGACGTGGGACAGGGGCGCCTGGGTGGCTCATTCGGTTGAACATCCAACTCTTGATTTCGGCTCAGGTCATGATCTGATGGTTCGTGAGATCGAGCCCCGTGTCTCTCTCTCCCTCTCTCTCTGCCCCTCCCCAGCTCATGCACGTGCACTCTCTCAAAAAAAAGGACAAAAAGATGATGTGGGACAGAATGCTGTGGAAGAGACACAAAACCTAGCCAAAGCACCTCTGCCATAACAAGGAGAGAGACAGCACTGCCGTGCTGCTCTCAGAAAGACGGTAAATACCTCGCTCTTATCAGAGCCCTGAAAAACTTCCACCTGTTTGCACAAAATTAAAACTTACTCCTAACACACAAAACCAGGCTCTGGGCTCTGCAAGATTATTGCAATGTAAAAAGCTTCTCCGTGCAGTTACCCTGCAGCATTTCCGGTCTGAATGTGGACGCTGTACTTACACGGTAAATTAGCCTCAAGCTCTGCAACCTCTGTGGAAACAAAGAGACCGTCGTTAATATCCATCAACTCTGCACAGAAAATCCCTGCTCTAACCTGGCAACTTCTTCCGGAACGCCGCGGAACAAAACAGACCGAAGTAACTGAAATCTACACTTGGTCTACTGTTTAAGACTTCAAGCCGTGGAATCGCTTTCAAATACACAAAGGGACTTGCGGGATGCCGGCAGATACGGTCACAGGCCCTTGAAAACGTACTTGGTATAAATGAAAATACTTTAAAATTCACACAGAAATCCCCCATAGGTAAACGGTCACTGGAGTCTTTTTGAAAGTCTTGTTCCCCCACACACAGGAACTGCTGCCCTTGGAACGTGATTTATATACGCACCTGTGTCTCTTCTGGTTCTTTCAGACCTGTCTTCCCATGCAGGCTTGCCCCGTGTGTGCTGCAACTTTTCCAGCGAGAGAAAACTCTGCCTCCTGCCAGAGTCTGCTATCTGTTAACATCTCGCGACTGCCCAAGGAGCGGGGCTCGGTGCCGCAGTCCCCGGCCCCTTCACTCAGCAGTGAAGCCCGGCGCCCCTCTGCCGGGACAAAGCTGCAGACACCCCACTCCGAATGCTAAGAGCGGAGCTCTGGGGATACCCGGAAAGAAGCAGGCAGGCAAGTCATCGGTGCCTCAGACACAACAACGTGCTCTGGGGTCCTGGGGGCACAGAGGCCCCCACCCACTGTGGAGACTAGAGGAAGGAGGTCTATGGGCCAGGCTTTCAAGAATAAGTAGAATTAAGTCCAGCAGAAGAGGAACGAAAAGGTTTGCCAAGGAGGTAAGTTAGTGACGGGCAAGAGCACGGAGCACAGACTAGCACAGGAAGGAGAAGGTGTGCAGGGCAGCCAGAGCGACGGGCACAAAACGGCAGAGCAATGAGAAACCAGGAGGGCTCTGCACACAGCCTAGAGTTCTCAACTTGAATCTGCAGAAATAGGGAGCAGAGGGTCATTTCTACCAAGTTTCCAAACTTTCCTCGAGAGGACAACTTCAGAAAGGGCAAAGCGGAGGTCTGGTGACCTATGACACGAGGTGGCCAGGGCCTAGCAAAGGCAGGGACAGTCAGAGAGC